TGAGTCTTTCATTTAATTATCTGCAAAATTTGACTCTTTTAAGTAAATGGGGCTGCGATGGCAGTTCTGGCTATAATCGTTACAAGCAAACTTTGCCGTCTCTTAATTTTGATGATTCTTCTCTTTTTGTGACTTCAATCGTTCCCCTGCAATTGTTTGTTCGTACTGAATGTAGAAATAAAATTATAATCTGGCAAAATCCGCGACCATCTAGTCCTCGATTTTGTAGACCAATCAAATTTGAGTTTATTAAGGAAAGTGTTCAGCTGATTCAGGAAACAAAATTCAAAATTGAAAATCAAATAGAAAACTTGGAAAGTACCAAAGTTTGCTTGTTAGATTTGAATGTAATTGTATCGCACCGTCTTCATTTCACTATGGTTGATGGAAAAGTTGCAAATGCTATAACTAGCACTTCATGTGTTACCATGTGTGTCTTCCATGTGTTACATATGTGATGCAAAGCCAAATGATATGAATGATATCGATCAAATTTTGAAAAGACCAGTAAAGACTGAAACTTATGCCTTCGGTTTATCAACTCTTCATGGTTGGATTAGATCATTTGAGTGTCTTTTACATATTGCATACAAACTGCATTATCAAAAGTGGAGAGTAAATAAAAATGATAAGAATTTTATAGATCGCAAAAAAGCTATTCAAGATTCTTTTAGAGAAAGAATGAATTTAATAGTGGACCAACCAAAGCCAGGTTTTGGGTCGTCTAATGATGGCAACACTGCTAGACGCTTTCTTTCACAGCCAAGACTATCAGCAGAAATAACTGGATTAGACGAAAATTTGATTACACGTTTCAATATTGTTCTTAGAACTTTAAGTTCTGGTTATGAAATTAATATAAAACTTTTTGAAGATTACTGCTTGCAAACAGCCAAAGATTTCGTCAGATTGTACCCATGGTATAAAATGCCTGCTACAATACATAAAATTCTTATTCATGGACCGCACATAGTAAAGTCAGCACCTTTGCCCATTGGTCAATTTTCTGAAGAAGCACAAGAGGCAAGAAACAAAGATTGTAAAAAAATTAGAGAATTTAATACTAGGAAAATGTCACGGAAAGAAACCAATGAAGATTTACTTCATTTACTTCTCCAGAGCTCAGATCCCTTATTGTCATCTCTAAGAAAATTGCCTCCGAAGAAGAATTCTCCTTTTCCTCCTGAAGTTCTTGCATTATTGAATTCACCAGAAATTAGTGGGTAAAACGTTTTTGAAGCAGAAATGTAAAAACTGCAAAAATTAATTTATATTATGTGTTAATAACTTAAAAGCTATAATATAATAATAATAGTAATAATTAAATAATGTTATAATAATGTTATATATTATTGATATTTTTTAATAATAAAAGTATATAATAGTAAATAATATTGAAATAAGTAACATTGTAATAAATAATAAGTATATGACGTTTTCCGCAATATTTTCCTTTCCCCTTGTTTTTATCATTTTAAATTTGATCAGTGATCATAAACAAAACATTAGTTTCCGTATGTAATATATTTATGTAAAATTTTAGATCGATATCTTGAATAGATTTCAAATATTGATTTTTGTCAATGAAATCGGGCGCTGCGCAACACTGTGCGGCTACCGCGTCGTCGTCGAACCCCCCGACGAATAACAATCTTCTTTCTCTCGTCGTCGTCGTCGTCGTCTCGCGTTGAACGCCAGCGAGTTTTCCGCCACACATAACCGTATAGAAATTGTAAAATATTGAAATAATTGTAACAATAGAATAAGCATATTATTTGTAAATCTAATACTTTTTATCACGCATTCATCAATCACCGTATCGTATAAATATAAGAATATTAATGTATAATTTTATTGTAGCGAGCAAGTATTTGTAAGAATACGCAAAAATATAAAAACGGATTTTTTTAAATACTGAAAATTTTTTCATGTTTTCCATCGAATATTAAAAAATATTTAAAACGTAAGAAAGCCTTTTTTATTATTCGTACGCATTTCCTTTTCTCCTCCCGAATTAAAAATTATTTCCTGCGAAAATTATTTTCTTTCTCATCCGTAAGTTTTTTCGGTCGCATCGCGCGCGTGCGCGCGCGCGCAACGAGCCTATACGCGACGCGGCGGCGGATAAGCCTGTCGTGGCGCGCGGGCTCGGATCAGCTGATCGTCGCCGCCCGCGTCCCACCGCGGCACGAATCAGCTAATCGACGTCGCGGTGTGCTGTTCGCTAGCTAGTGTACGCGGGTGTACGCTAGCGCGAGCATACGTACGCTAGCGCGAGCATACGCGCGGGTGCGCTAGCGCGAGCACGCGTCCGCCGCCGCCGCCGCCACCGATAGGCTAATTTCCTCGCGGGGGAAAGGGGGGATATTTCTTTTTCTTTTTCAAAGCCGCGCGAGCACGCACGCCGATCATTTCGCGAAATGGACGTGCGATGGAAACATCCCTGGACGGCGATCGTATGCGGACCCACCGGATGCGGGAAGACGATCTTCGTAAAGACTTTTCTCCGGAATTTATCTCGCGTGTCCGACGTGCGTTTCGAGAGAGTTTTGTTCTACTACGCCGAGTGGCAAGACGCCTACCGTCAATTACAGCGCGACGAAGAGGAGAAGGGAGGGGGAGAGGTGGTAGAGGGAGGGAAAGAAGCGCGAGGAATACGTGCAACGGGGAAAAATATTATCGAATTTCGCGAGGGTTTGCCACGTCCGGAGGATTATTCGAACGATCCGCTTTCCCCGAAATTGCTGATAATCGACGATCTTATGAGGGAATCGTCGTCGAGCGACGCGATCGTGGATCTCTTCACCAAAGGCAGCCATCATAAGAATCTCAGCGTGATTCTCATCTCTCAAAATCTTTTCCATCAGGGACGCGGGCAACGCGACATATCTCTCAACGCGAATTACATCGTCGTTTTTAAAAATCCTCGCGATCGCGCCCAAATTCGTCATTTGGGCAAGTCTCGCCCGACGATCCGAAATTTCTAGAAGAGGCCTACTACGACGCCACGTCGAGACCGCACGGCTATCTACTGCTCGATCCGAAACAATCGACTCCGGACGAATATCGATTTCGCACCTGCATCTTTCCCGATGACGAGGCGCATTACGTCTACGTAGCGCGTAAATCATTCTCCAACGGATACGTATAAAACAGCGTACATGGCGTGCGCACGGATCAGTCGCGTGATTTTCTCGCGATGAAAGAGAAGGCTACGAAGAAGGAAGAGGAGCAGGAAGAGGAGGAGGAGGAGAACAGAGCTACGAAAACCGCCAGACGTTCGATCGGACGGAGAAACGTCTGTCTTCTCGAGACGTTGTGCCATCTGAACAAAAATCAACGTGCGCACTTCCTACGAAACGCAGACGATAAATTCGTGCGCTGTATTCGCGAGTGCGTTTACAATACACTCAAGGGTAACGTACCGCTCGAACAGCGCGAAAAAAAGCGTCTGAACAAATACAAAACGACGCTACGCCGCATCGCGGCCGAGCGCGGTAATTGGAAGGAAAAGAGAAAGCTCTTGGTGCAGCGAGGCGGATTCTTACCCTACATTATCGGGCCCATACTGGCGGCTTTGCTATCGCATATTATCGGCGGTGGGCCGGGATATTAAAATCGAGTCATGGGGGAAAGAGCGAGAAAGATGGTTTTAATTTCTACGGAGAATCTCGAGAGAATGCAGCGACAATTACAACAACGACAACCGCTGATTACCACCCCCAGCAGCAGCAGCAGCAGCAGCAGCAGCAACAGCGTCGACAGGATGCCGGGAAATTCGGACGAAAGCACTAATAACTCCGTGCGTACCCCCGGAACCCCCCTATCCCGACTCGATGCGGAGATGCGGCGCATTCTCAACTCGTCCTATCCGCTCGACGCGGGCGAGAAATGGAAAATGTATAAAGAAGTACTCTGGCGATATCTCCACTTTGTCCATACGGCGCGAAAACGAAATCACGATGACGCTCGCAACGGCGAAGAGCAAGAAACCGAAAATGTGGACAATGATACGCTAGAAGCGAGGGAGGAGGAGGAGGAGGAGGAGGGGGAGGAAGAGGCAACGGGGGATACGGACGAGACGTCCCGCGTCGATCTCACGCCGATCTCATCCATTAGGCCTTCGCACTCTAGCGGTATCGCAGCGGCGGCGGCGGCGAGAAACGATGCGCGTGATCTCGAGCTGCCGAAGAGCGCCGCGAGAATAGTGGAAAGCGTACCGAAATCTTATCGCGCCCACGCGCGTCTGCTGATGAGGCATCTGCTCGATAAAGCCGTGCCGGCTAGAATGAGCTGGGACGAGCGCGGAGTCGTGACTATAGACGGCGACGTCGTAAAAAATTCGAATATCGCGGACCTGATAAACGACGCGATGCGCGAGAGAAAAACCGTGAAAGCAGCGGGGAGAGATCAGTTCGCGCGATTACTACGCGTCTTAAACACCCCCGCGATACTGGTGAAAAATAAGGAATTATTAGCCCGCGGCTCTCCAAATATTAGGCAACGTCGCGCTGCTGCGAGCTCCACTCCGAATACAACCTCATCGACGACGGTGACAAAAAGACGTTACTCGATTGGCGTAAATTGAACTAAAAAATGACGGACCTTGAAAAATTCTACTACGATCCGCGACATTACGCGGGCTATTCGGTAACTGATAATCTGTATCGCGCCGCTAAACCAAAATTCTCCCGTAACGGGGTCGCACGATGGCTCGAATCGCAAGACGCGTACACGCTGCATCGTCCGTTGCGCCGGAAATTTCCACGCTTGCATTACAACGTAACGAATATCGACGACCTGTGGGAGGCCGATTTGATCGAACTCCGAAATCTCAAAAGTTACAACGACGGCTATTCGTATTTGGTAATTATCGACGTGCTCAGTAAATACGCCTGGGTGGAGCCGTTACGCGATAAAACGAGTAAAGGCGTAACGGAGGCCCTTCAACGCGTGCTCTCGAGAAACGAAGGCCGCGTGCCGGTCTACCTGCAAACGGACAAAGGCAAGGAATTTATCGGGCAGGCTTTGCAACGGTTTCTGGAGGAAAAGGGCATTCGTTTTCGAGTAGCCCGTAATCCAGATGTCAAAGCCGCCGTCGTCGAACGGTTTAACAGAACGTTGAAAGAACGAATGTGGCGTTATTTCACGCATAAAAATACGCGACGTTACCGCGATGTTCTGCAGGCTATCGTAAGCGCTTACAATCACACCCGTCATTCGTCCACCAGAATGCAGCCGGCGATCGTTACGCGCGAAAACGCCCGTATCGCGCGTGAAAATATAAGCCGACGATGGCGGCGGAATGACGAGAAGAAGAAGAAGAAGAAGAAGAAACAAATGGTTAAATATCGCATCGGCGAACTCGTTCGGATCAGTAGAGCAAAAGCCGCTTTCGAGAAAGGCTACGAGGCCCGTTGGAGCGAAGAGATATTCCGAATTCATCGCATTCTCGAGTGGCGAAAACCGCCTGTGTACGAGTTGAGCGATTTAACGGGCGAGACCATAGATGGCATTTTTTACGAGCAAGAATTAGCCAGAGTCGAGAAAAACCTGAGCGAGGAAGAGTTCATCGTCGATCGCGTGATAGAGAGCAGGGGACGCGGCGCTAATAAACAGCTGCTCGTTAGTTGGCGCGGCTATCCCAGCAAGTTCGATTCTTGGATCCCCGCCTCAAATTTAACATCTCTTCAAGATGAGGGAAGATCAATTTCTCCTGGTCCTTCCGAGCAATAGCAGCATGCGTTATTTCCCGAACAATACAACCGCGTCATTCACTACGGAATTACCGCAAACTCTACACTTGCACGGCGAATGGGAAGTCGCGCTCAGCGAGATTCAATTTCCCGCTACTTTTTTGCACATAAATCACGGCGAAAATATCATCACTTTCGTCGATATTAAAAAGATCGAGCGCTAAAGAAGGACGCGCCGTACTCGTCGACGGAGGGCGTAATACCGAATGGTATTTACAAAAATATCGACGACCTTATCGCCGTGATTAATAAGGAGTTTCAAAACGTCGATTCGCATTTTTATTTGGAAAACACCCCCGGCGGTAAAATCTACTTTAGCATTAACTGCGGGGACGAGTGCGAGCTGATTCATCATATGCACGTTTCCGATAATCTTCTACAAATACTCGGCGTCGGGTATGTCGTGAGGAACGCGGAGGGTGTTAACCATACCACGCTCACGGCAACTAAACCCAATTCCAAAGAAACTTTTACAGCGCATTTTATCAAACTCGGTTTTAAAACCGCGCAAGGCGCTCGTTATGCTAATTTCTTTTCTAGCGAGCCTCATGGTTTGTTGCGCGGAATCCCCGATAAACTCTTCGTTTATTGCGATATTTGCGAGCCTTATATAACGGGAGATGTGCGAACTCCCCTTCTCCGAATAGTACCGCTCGAGTTGCATGATCACAATCATTATTACGCCTACGCGGCGAATCAAGTGGTACATTTCGCCGTCCCGCATTATATTCCATTACGACAAACAAATTTCCGCAGAATTGAAATAGATATAATAGATCAACTTGGAAAAAGATTTCCATTCCAATCCGGAACGCTGACGGTGACATTACACTTTAGACGTTTCGAGTAACAGCATCCCCCGCAACGCCGCGCGCGCGCGCGCGCGAAAGAAGATATAGAATAAGTTCCGCGCCATGGCGGAGTACGAATATTACGACCCGCTAAGCAATCGGCGAGGGGGAATTCCACGCGTTTTCGTCGGGGCACCGTATCAACGGGGCCACGGAATCGGCAGTTTTCTCGGGGGGTTATTCAGGAAGGTACTTCCCTACCTGGGTAGAAGCATCCGCGCGGTCGGCAAAGAAGCTTTGCGCGCGGGTGTTAATGTGATCTCGGATGTCGAAAATAATACTCCGTTGAAGGAAGCGGTCAGAATGCGACTCGAGGAATCGGGTAGAAATCTCAAGAGAAAAGTCAAAGAAAAAATAACCAGCCTGATGACGGGATCGGGATATAAAATATCCGCGAAAACCCCGGCGCTTCAGTTTCCCTTCGACACTCTCGACAGTCGCGTCGCGTCGACTCTACGTAAACAGCAGCAGCGTCGTCGTCCCCGTCGTCGACAAACGAACGGGAAAAAATCCGCGTCGTCCGGGCGGAGGAAAAGAACGAGCATAAAGTCGACAAGGAAGAAAAAAAAACCCCCCGCGTCAGGTAGAAAGGCTAAAAAATCGGCTGTCGGGGGCGCCGCCGCGAGACGCCGGAGGGTCAAGAGCAAACGCAGCGTATCCGAAATTTTCTCTTAACCGTTGCACGGACTAGGAATTTTCAGTGAGGAGAGGGGATAAGCATGTCCTTTCTTCACACTCACTCGAGCGAGTGTCTAAAGAGCGATCTCTTTCTTTACCCCCCACGCAAACCAGCATCGAGAATTCACAATGGATTTATTACAAACCCGTGACATTGCTCGCGGACGACACGCCTATAGAATTCGTCATACCCGGTCACGGGGAAGACTACCTCGATCTCACTCACACCATGCTGAGTCTTCGCATACGCGTAGATTCTTCCCCTCTAGCGGGCGGAGGAGGAGGAGGAGCAGGAGGAGGAGTCGCCGGTACAGCCGGCACCGTCGAGTACAAAGTAGGCCCCGTAAATCATCTATTACACTCCATGTTCAATCAAATCGACGTGTACTTCAATCAAAAGCTCGTGTCACCCCCAAACAACGCTTACGCATACCGCGCGTACATCGAGGCGCTATTAAACTATTCTTCACCCGCGAAAACGTCCCATCTAACCGCCAGTCTGTGGGAGTCGGATACG